CATGTAGCTTTCTAATGATCATGTCTCCCTTTTCACCTGTCTCCCGCCAGCTTCATTCCAGACAGAACAATGATAAAGTACAACCCTCACCACAGTGCTTTCGGCCTGTCTCCCCTTGTTCTTCTGTTGCTCCTTAGAGAAAGACTCTAGTTTTTAAGATGATGATGATAATCTTTGTGGCTAGGATGACCCCTCACTTAAGGTCATTTTCCAACCTGCTCCATTTTCTTTGACTTTTGAATATGTGAGTTTATTTTGTCTCATGAAATGCTTTTCATCTAGTTCTTCATCCACCCTCTACTTTTGTTCAGATTACACTGGCTCAGCTAAATGTTACCTCATTGGGAAACCTTTTTCTGCTTCCCCACTCAACCAGTACCCTGTAGTCCATCTCAGATCACACAGGGTTTTTCCTTTTTTAGATTAACCACGGTTTGTGATCTACATACTTAGTCAATGGCTTACTTGTCCTACTAGATAAAAAGCTCCATGAGGCCAAGGATGAAGCATCTTTGCTGACAAGTTCTTACCCACCGAATCATTTAGCATCTCTACTTTTAAAAATATTTCCTTGTCCTCTAAACCCTCCAACAACTTGTCCCCATCTTCTTTATCCAAGTCCCAAAGCTAATCAAGCTCCATCATATCCTTTGATCTTTTTCTGTTAAGAATATTTTAAAAATACTTTAAAAAATTTCCCCCTTCTTGGTCTTCCTGTATCCATAACATCTATGCACTTGGCATTTAAATATTTTGGAAACTTTAATAACCCAGCCTGTTTCTGAGTTTCGTAACATATATATAGTTTAGTATAGTTTAGTAATTATAGTTTAGTAATATATATATATATATAGCCTTCATACTGTGTGGCTATATCATAAGGCATGTAAAGTGGTTTATTTTTATTAGAAATATAAAATCTCATTTGGGAAACCAACAATTAAACACTTAACAATAATCCACCTTATGAAGTTTTAAAGAATTCCAATCCACAGGTGCTGAAAGTGTTTACTACATGGAGATTGGATTGGTATTTATTACCTTTAGAAAATGTGGACTTGAGACATGACTCAGTGTGTAAGAATGCTTGCTGCACCAGCATAAGCCCCTGAGTTTGGGTCTCTAGAACCCATGTAAAAACCCAGGTGTGGCCACACACACCTTGGAATACCATCGTTGTATGAGTGGGGATGGGAGGATTGGGGCAAGAGGATTGCTGGGGCATGTTGACTGCCAGTCAAGGTCCAGGTTCAGCAAGAGGCCCCGTCTCTAGGGAATATAACTCAGAGGGTGATGGAACAGGGTTCCCCTATGTCCTTCTTTGTCTCTGCACTTGTTCACGGGTGTGCACACATGCACAAACACACGCATGTACACACTTTCATACACATATATACAAATGCACACAAAATTAGTGATAAAATTTCTAGAATAACTCTTACTTGTGTTACATTAAGGTTGGATGCTGATTTTGAATTCAGTATTCTCTCTAGTCAGGACAACAATAAATATTGAGTATCCCTACTATGAAAATACTCAATGCTCTGAAATCTAAAACTTTTTGAGCAACTACCTAATGCTCAAAAAATGTTTTGGCTTGGGGCATTTCAGAGTTCAGGTTCTCAGAGGAGAGATATTCAGTCAGAGAAGTAGGATGTGAGCATTCCAAAATCCCCAAATCATCCACTTTTCACACCAGGCATTGTAAAGTTATCAAGAGATAACTTGATTTTCATTTTTTAATTATTTATTTAATAATCACATAATTAGAAGAAGCATTTCATTACAACAACATTGACATAGTCAATAACAAGTTCCAGAGCTAAGATGCATCTCTTTCAAAATTGGCTGTAAATTTTTAGGTTTACAGTTGAATTACTACAGTTATACAATATTGTACTCAATGTAAACCCATATGACATGAAATTGAATGAGGTTTTACTTTTAAAAAAGATCTCAGTTTCATTATTAAAATATACTGTTTCATACAGACTCATTTTTAATGCAACTAACACTTAGATGTTTGCACATGCATCTCTAATCTCTATGTATCTGATTATTACTAGTCATAGTCAATTACAC